ACCACCACTGCTCTATCATGAGAGGAAGAAAAGAAGAGCAGGCATAGCTCCATCATGCCTAAGGGCAAAAGAAGATGAAAGCACTCCATCCTAACTGCCATGACCTCAGAAGGAGAGGAGAAGTGGCAGATTTAAAAGATTAAAGATCCTCCACTCCTGTCTCAATTGCCACTGCCCTGACCTTGAAGGGAGAGAGGAAAGTAAAGCATAGCTCCATCGGGCTTAGGTCTCGAACAATGGTTCTCAACCTGTGGGACAACAGGTGTTCTGGCCTACAACTTCCAGAAATCCCAGCCAGTTTACCAACTGTTAGGATTTCTGGGAGTTGAAGGCCAAAACATCTGGGGACCCACAGGTTGAGAACCAGTGGCCTAGAAGAAGATAAAAGACTCTCCTTCCATCCCAACTCCTTCCATCCCTCCTGCGCTCAGGAGGAGGAGAAGGTAACAACTGAGGTGGATAAAAAGAATATCCTCTCGTCCTCGTTAGTTGTATGTCTCATAATTTACACTCTTCCTGTCCCCCTGATGGGGCTCAAAGTGACTAGAATCCCAGTCTATGAAGCTGATTAGTAGGGTTGGGGCTTGGTGAGTCTCTACCTTTTCTCCCAATTAGACACTAGGGATAGGAGATCCAAACTACAGCTTTATTACTGGCAAGAGTAAAACTGAGGGTGACCAGCAAAGGAAAAAAAGTGCCACTGGTCCGGGTCACAGCTCAGTACTTGGAAAGGGTCTGAGGCTGTTAGTCCAAAGCAAAAACGTGTGTGCAAGACTTTCCCCCCATTTTATTGTCGAAGGCTTTCATGGCCGGAATCACTGGATTGTAGGTTTTTCAGTCTGCATGGCCATGTTCTAGAAGCATTCTCTCCTGACATTTCACCTGCATCTATGGCAGGCATACTCAGAAGTTGTGAGGTCTGTTGGAAACTAGGAAAATTGGGTTTATATCTCTCTGGAATGTCCAGGGTGGGAGAAAGAACTCTTGTCTGTTGGAGGTCAGTGTTAATGTTTCAATTGGCCAACCTAGCAGTTCGCAAACATGCAAATATGAATAGATTAGTAGATACCGCTTCAGCAGGAAAAGGCAAAAAGACGTTCCAAGCAGTCGTGCCAGCCACACGACCGTGAGGTATCTATGAGTGCAGGCTCCTTGGCTCGGAAATGGAGAAAGAGCACAGCCTCTAGAGCTGGAAATGAAAGGAGAAGCCTTTGCCTTTGTGTATTTGTGTCTCATTGTATGTCATTGTCACAAAACATTGAATGTTTGCCTGTGTCTGTTTATATACCGCAATCCGTTCTGAATCCCCTTGGAGAGATGAGCAGAATATAAATAAAGTGTTGTTGTTGTTGTTGTTGTTGTTGTTGTTATTATTATTATTTTCATCATCTTTTTCACTTGCCTATCTAAAGCCCCTTCCACACAGCAATATAACCCAGAATATCAAGGCAGAAAATCCCCCAATATCTACTTTGAACTGGGTTATCTGAGTCCACACTGCCATATATTCCAGTTCAAAGCAGATAACCTGGGATTTTATTCAGATCCTGCTGTGCTCTGTTTTGTCTAGCAGACTAACAGAGTAAGCTTAGATCTGGGTTGCTGTGAGTTTTCCGGGCGGTATGGCCATGTTCCAGAAGCATTCTCTCCTGACATTTTGCCCACATCTATGGCAGGCATTCTCAGAGGTGGTGAGGTCTGTTGGAAACTAGGCAAGTGGGGTTTATATATCTATGGAATGTCCAGGGTGATAGAAAGAACTCTTGTCTGTTGGAGGCAAGTGTGAATGCTGCATCTGGCCACCACCCGGGAGACTTATTATTAATTGGCAATCAGTTCCTGTTTTAGATTATAAAGACAGTCATTCAACCGATAGCGAATGGTGATACTTGATTTCATTAATCATAAGCCAAATGTGATGTTATTAATTACTTAAATGTTGTATTTCATCATTCTACTTTCACTTGACTTAGCCGATGGTTTGTTGACCGAAATAAAGGCTATTGATTGACTGGCACCTTGATTAACATTGAATGGCCTTGCAGCTTCAAATCTTGGCTGCTTTCTCTTCACAGTTCTTCCAGTTCACCACTCCCTATTGTCTCAATTTTTATTTCAACTTTCTTAAAACTTTATTCTTATAGAATTCACACTTACATAAAATCTTCAGTAGAAGATGCAGGAAAAATGAAAATGAAAACATTTAATTACTTTTTCCCATTTAAACTGCACATTGTTTTCAATACATAATATTATTATAAATGTCTAGGGCCTGGCTGTTCATTACTTTAAATAAGTTGCTTGAAATAAAAAGAAATGTTTAACTAAAGAATGCCAAGCATTTCCCACTTGATTTGCATAAGAGCTGCAACATTCAGGAAGGCAATATTTAATTCGTGTCGCTTCCACTGTTGCCTCTGAAACAAAGATGACTCACCACCCAACAAATGGCAATAATACCTTTTTAAAAATTCCACTGAGGACAATAACAAAATTATTCAAAAAGAGGAGCAGTACAATAAAAACAACTTAAAGCACTCTAGAGGGCAATGTTATACAAAATATTTGAATATTTAAGCATCCTTTAATAAGCTTCCTAGGCGGTAAGTCCTTGGTCCATAGGCATGCCTGCGATGTTTCAGTTGGGAGCAAGGAGTAAAGCTTAACTTCAGACGCTGGTTTTAGAGAGTAAGTAAATTCAGTCTGATTTTTAAAAATATAGTCTTTGTTTTTTTAATGAATTATGCTTCAAATCCTTTAAAGAGGACTCTGCATGGATTTTTTTTTTTTGTGTCAGGAATGACTTGAGAAACAAAAAGCCATTTCTGATGTGAGAGAATTGGCCATCTGCAAGGACATTGCACAGGGGATGCCCGGATGCTTTGATGTTTTACCATCCCTGTGGGAGGCTTCCCTCATGTCCCCGCATGGGGAGCTGGAGCTGACAGAGGGAGCTCATCCGTGCTATCGAACCTCTGACTTGTTGATCTTCAGTCCTGCTGGCACAATGGTTTAACCCATTGCGCCACTGGGGGCACCTTGCATAGGAATGTGATTTATTATTATTTTTGTTGTGTCAGGAGCGACTTGAGAAACTGCAAGTTGCTTCTGGTGTGAAAGAATTGGCTGTCTGCAAGGACGTTGCCCAGGGGACTCCCAGATGTTTTGATATTTTATCATCCTTGTGGGAGGCTTCTCTCATGTCCCCGCATGAGGAGCTGGAGCTGATAGAGGGAGCTCATCCGCGCTCTCCCCAGATTCTGTGAATGAATGGGGAAGTCATAGGGAGGAGGGAGCAAGCATGTTTTCTGCTTCACTGGAGACTAGGACACAGAACAATGGTTTCAAACTACAGAAAACGAGATTCCACCTGAACATTAGGAAGATCTTCCTAACTGTGAGAGCTGTTCAGCAGTGGAACTCTCTGCCCCAGAGTGTGGTGGAGGCTCCATCTTTGGAGGCTTTTAATATGAGGTTGAATGGCCATCTGTCAGGGGTGATTTGAATGCGATCTTTCTGCTTCTTGGCAGGGGGTTGGACTGGATGGCCCACAAGGTCTCTTCCAACTCTATGATTATATGATTAGCAAAACAGAAAAGGAAGGAGAAGTCAGGATGGAGTAGCAGGAAAGATACAAGGGGTATTTTTAAAGTAAGGTCCGTTTTGTTGTAGATACTAGTAGTTCACACGCATACCGCAACGAGCACGTGCGTCGTGTACCGGCATGCCTCGGGAACAACTGTGCTCAGTTTCCGCTCTGTAGCTAACCTGTACGGTTCTGTTCTGTGCTTTAAAAATGTTTAAGACTATCAACTCACCCTCCGCATGTGAGGTTCGCTCAGTGATACGGTTTTTGTCAGCAAGGAACCTGCCTGCTGCAGAAATTCATCGACAGATTTGTGAAGTGTACGGTGATACTGTTGTGAGTGAAAGCAAAGTGCGTAAGTGGGTACGACAATTCAAAGATGGCCGTGACAACGTCCATGATGAGGACCGCTCCGGTCGCCCTTCTTTGATTACAGACGATTTGGTGGCTTCAGTTGAAGCGAGGATTCGTGAAGAGGGTATTTTAAAATTGGTTCAGAGGTATGATAAGTGTTTGAACAAACTTGGCAACTATGTCGAAAAATAGAGTGAAGTATGTACTTTCTGAAAATAAATTTACTTTTTTGAAATAAACTTTCGTTGTGTACTTATGTTCAAACGGACCTTACTTAAAAAATACCCCTCGTATATTCAATGAGTCCCCAAATTATGAACGAGATAGGCTCTTTAGGTTTGGTCTTAAGTTGAATTTGTTTGTAAGTCGGAACAGGTACAGTTTTTAAGTACAACTCCATCTATCTATCTATCATCTATCTATCTATCTATCTATCTATCTATCTATCTATCTATCTATCTATCTATCATAAGGAAGGGATAACATAAGGAAAGGTTAACACCCCTGTGGTGTTTGTTTTGCTGTCTGTATCTCTGATCAGAAAATTTCACCTCACTTTCTTTCTCTCTCTCTTTTTTAAAATAGCTTGTTGTGGAAACAAGGATTGGTAGAGAGATGATACCTCTTTCCTATGACAACTCTTTCAGTTGTCATTTCAGTTGACAACCCCCAGGTTGAGAAACACTGGTGTAGATGAATTACCAATGTTTTTCAGATGCTTTTAAAAGGTACCAGATTTTCCTTTTCAAAAGGTCTAAGATAGTCAGGAGAGGCCAGGGTGTTATTCATGGCCAAGTTTAAGTGGTTTGAGGCAGTCTTTGTGGTTTGTTCTGTCTTAGGCAAGAGACACCTTTGCAAATCCTCTCGGATGTGGTCCTCTCCGGGCCGTGGCGTTAATCACCCTGATGATCAAGATCAGCCTCTGTTTGTCTTTGACACCCCGAGATGCCCTGTGGGTGGTTGTGGAATGCATTGGCAGCCAAAGTAACACCGCCTGGTTGGGGCAGGGTTTGCAGGGAGTGACTCAATATATTGTCAGCTGGGATCACACATCGTCGGCATTTTTAAACAAGGTTTTCTGCTCTGGTCCGGCTGGCACCTCGTTTGACAGTTTCCAAACTTGGATACACACTCCAGTTTTCAGGATCTATTGGGCTTTGACAGGAGAGGATTGGACTTCAAAACAGGACGGATGAAAGAAGAGGGGGAGACCCAAGTAGCCAGGATATCAGGTATGGAGGAGAGACAGAATCCATAGTCTAGACTTAATGCACTACTATACCATTGCTCACAGCTATGGGATCATGGGAGTTGTTGTTTTACAGGGTCTTTAGTTTTCTCTACCAAATAGTGCTGGCGATTCACCAAATTACAACTCACAGGATTCCATAGAATTGACCCAAGGGAATGGTGTCAAACTGCATTAATTCTACAGTGTAGAAACCCTTTCAGATTGTATATGTGTGTGTGTGTTCTGAAAAATAATGTATGTAAGACTGTAATCTCCATCTCCTCCATGGTAGCTGGGATGATGGGTGCTGTAGTCCAACATATTTAGAATTGTAGAGTTTGAAGAGACCTTGTGGGCCATCCAGTCCAACCCCCTTCCAAGAAGCAGGAAAATTGCATTCAAAGCATCCCAGACAGATGGCCATCCAGCCTCTATTTAAAAGCCTCCAAGGAAGGAGCCTCCACCACACGCTGGGGCAGAGAGTTCCACTGCTGAACAGCTCTCAAAGTTAGGAAGTTCTTCCTCATGTTCAAATGGGATCTCCTTTCTTATAGTTTGAAGCCATTGCTTCAGTCCTAGTCTCCAGGGCAGCAGAAAACAAGCCTGCTCCCTCCTTCCTATGACTTCCTCTCACATATTTATACATGGATATCATGTCTCCTCTCAGCCTTCTCTTCCTTCAGGCTAAACATGCCCAGCTCTTTAAGCCACTCCTCAATAGACTTGTTCTCCAGACCCTTGATCATTTTAGTTGCCGTCCTCTGGACACATTCCAGTTTGTCAATACCTCTATTTGTTAAACGTGTGATTGGAGAACCTTGTTTTGGATGTTGCGGCACAGTGAACATCAGGTTGAAATACCTGAAAGATGCTTAGGTGGAGAATCGGAGAACAAAAGAGCATTTGACCTCAGCTCACCCCAGCCTAAGACAATTCCACAACATTTATTTAATTGATATATTTTGTCCTGCCTGCCATCATAGATATTGATCAAAAATGGGTTGGATGTGGACATTGACATGCTTCTATTGGACCAATTCAAATCAATGGAACTTTATTTAAACCTTCTGGAGATATCCCAATGACTTCAAAAGAGATGTATTGACTCAATCTGCATCCAATCCAATGGTTTTAATTAAAAAATGCAGTTACATAAACCACCAGGCAGAACTCAGCATCGACGGAGTTACATGACATGTGCGTAAATACTGGGGAAGGGTCATTGGGGTTATTTTCAAACTGTTGATCAAACAAGGAAATATCAATACAGCTTAGGCAGGAGAAAAGGCATTTCCAGGAACCATATATTTGCTGCTCCCTAAGGCGGTTTGCCAAAAGATCCCTATGAGTGATGCTTTCCTTTTTGTAGCAACTAGTGTTCTAAGATGGATGAGCCCCGGTTCCCAGATAAAAGGGCATCTTTCTGAATCTGAAGCCAAATTTAGTTAATGCAGCATTTCTCAACCTGGGGGTCGGGCGGGGGGTGTCAGAGGGGTCACCAAAGACCATCGGAAAACACAATATTTTCTGTTGTTCATGGGGTTCTGTGTGGGAAGTTTGGTCCAATTCTCTCATTGGTGGGATTCATAATGCTCTTTGATTGTAGGTGAACTATAAATCCCAGCAACTACGACTTCCAAATGTCAAGGTCTATTTTCCCCAAACTCTTCCAGTGTACACATTTGGGCACATTGAGTATTCGTGGCAAGTTTGGTCCAGATCCATCAGTGCTTGAGTCCACCGTGCTCTCTGGATGTAGGTGAACTACAACTCCAAAACTCAAGATCATTGCCCATCAAACCCTTCCAGTATTTTCTGTAGGTCAGGGAAGTTCTGTGTGCTAAGTTTAGTTCAATTCCATTATTAGTGGAGTTCAGAATGCTCTTTGATTGTAGGTGAACTATAAATCCCAGCAACTACAACTCCCAAATGACAAAATTAACCCCCCCAAACCCACCAGTATTCAAATTTGGGTGTATCGGGTATTTGTGCCAAATTTGGCCCAGTGCATGAAAATATATCCTGCATATCAGATATTTACATGATGATTCATAACAGTAACAAAATTACAGTTGTGAAGTAATAACAGAAATTATTTTATGGTTGGAGGTCACCACAACATGAGGAACTGAATTAAGGGGTCACAGCTTTAGGAAGGTTGAGAAACATTGAGTGAATGGGTGGCTTCACTTCAGTAGTCTTCAACTGGTTGTACAACAATGTTGGGAAGCATAATTTAAAATATGCTAAAAGTGTTTTTAATCAGATGTAAATAAGTATTTTGCACCAGTCCCCAACCCCACTAGGATCTTAATTTCAGCTACCTATTCAGCAATACGTGTTGGAATTCAACCCTGTGTTTGACGGGGTTACACTTCCCCTGAAGACACGGGTTCGCAGCTTGGGTGTTCTCTTGAATTCATTGTTGAGCCTGGAACCCTAGGTTTCGGCGGTGACCAGGGGAGCATTTGCACAATTAAAACTCGTGTGCTAGTTTATTTATTTATTTACTATATTTATAGCCTGCCTTTCTCAACCATATGGCGACTCAAGGCCGGTTACAGATTGGCACAATTAGATGTCAGGCATTCATAAAAGTGCCATTAAAAACAATCAACATTACAATATAAAACATAAATAAAAACTGTTAAAGCATATAATCATCAGTGTCATCTTGTTAAAAATTTCATCCAGTAACATCATCTGGCCATTCCACGTTCATCATTTATAGTTCTGTATTATCTATTCCGCTGCATTCTCAAAAGCTTGCTCAAAGAGCCAGGTCTTTACTTTTTTTGGAAAGTCAGGAGGGAGGGGGGCCGATCGAATATCCCTGGGGAGGCCCTGTTATTTGTCTCTGCCAATCGCACTTGCAGGGCAGGCGGAATTGAGAGCAGGGTCTCCCCAGACGATCTTAAGCCCCTAGAACAGGGGTCCTCAAACTTTTTAAACAGAGAACCAGGTCACAGTCCCTCAAATTGTTGGAGGGCTGGATTATAATTTGAATCTGACTTCTACCTTCTTACACTTTAATATGGAGAGTATGTGCTGTGTGCTTTGAGATCTCTCTCTGCTTGTGTGTCAGGAGAGATGCAGTGATCGGCGTTTTCCCCTCTCTTTGAAACCTTAGAAGAGATGGGTGTTAGAGTCGCTCAGAACCAATTCTTGATTATTAAGAAATAGAGTTATTTCTTATAATTGTAAATAAATCTTTTGTGATTTTTTAAGATTGGATCCTGCGTGTTTGCCTCCTAAGTTCTGAATTCTTCACAGCCACATCACACGGCACTTCACACTCTGCTTGCTGGTGCTCAATTTTTGTATTCTGCTTGACTTTTGGATTCTCTGCTATATTTTAGAGTAGTTTCCCCTAACAACATGTTGGTTGCTTCTGTGGACTTGTGTAGAGTTCCCTTGAACGGAAGTACCCAGAACTTGGACTGATGTCATCAGCTTTCAGCTATTGGAAAACTCTGCTAAATATACTTTTGTTCTGAACACCCCCATTATAATTATACCTGTGGGCATGTTAATAGTAATTGCTCCATAGAATCAATATTGTATCCAAAGCAGGGGATAATAAGGGATAAATATAGATGGTGTATAATTACAGCTAGATAGATACGACAACAAGCGCAGCTAGTGTTTCCTTTCTCTCCAAAGCTTGGAAAAGTTACATTTTACATTGCAACATGTAGAATTGCACAGAAACTTGGGTTAGGGTACACTGGGAGTAGGGGTGCATCTAAACCAGTGGTTCTCAACCATCTTAATGTCATGATCCCTTAATACAGTTCCTCATGTTGTGTTGACCCCCAACCATAAAATTATTGTTGTTGCTACTTCGTAACTGCAACCTTACTACTGTTATGATGTAAATATTAGGGCTGGGCGGTTTCGTTTCGTTAATCCGTAATTCGTTAAAAATTTGTTATTTTTTTTATAACGAAGCGATAACGAACCATTCTGGAGCAACTTAAAAACGAAATGAATTTTTAAATTCGTTTCGTAAATGCTTCGGATTCGTTATGTATTCGTTTCGTTATTGGTTTGAGGTCGTTTCGTTATTATTTCCGCATGTCTGGGGCAAGTTTTATAGTTGTTTTTTGTTTAATTAGTGAAAAAAAATTATAATATCACACCAACAGTCAACAACAGAGGGAGAGGGAAGCTTCAGAAGTTCCCCCTGTCCCATTTGGAGGTTTTTTAGAGTATTGCGCAGTCGCGTCCGCCATTAACGAATCGATTCGTTATTGTTTCGTAATTGTTTCGTTAATGTTTCGTAATTTTTTTAACATTTACGAAATTTCGTAATTATCGAACTTTTTAAAAGAAAAATTTCGGAATTCTTTTAAATATCGAAACGCAAAAAACCCCAAAAAACGAATCGATTTTAGAAACAAATTTTTCCGTTGTTACCCAGGCCTAGTAAATATGTGATATGCAGGATGTATTTTCATTCACTGAACCAAATTTGACACAAATACTCGATATGTCCAAATCTGAATACAAGTGGGGTTGGGGAGATTGGTTTTGTCATTTGGGAGTTTAGTTGCTGGGATTTATAGTTCACCTACAATCAAAGAGTATTCTGAAATCCACCAATGATGGAATTGAACCAAACTTGGCACACAGAACTCCCATGACCAAGAGAAAATACTGGAAGGGTTTTTTGGGTATTGACCTTAAGTTTGGGAGTTGTAGTTCACCACATCCAGAGAGCACTGTTTACTCAAACGATGATGGATCTGGACCAAACTTGGCATGAATACTCAATATGCCCAAATGTGAACAGATAAAGTTTGGGGAAAATAGACCTTGTCATTTGAGAATTGTAGTTGCTGGGACTTATAATTCGCCTACAATCAAAGACCATTCTGAACCCCACTAATGATAGAATTGGGCCAAACTTCCACACAGAGAACCCCTTACCCCCCCCCCCATAACAGTAATTACAGTTTCTCAACCCCCAGGTTGAGAAACACTGATCTAAACTATAGAATTAATGCAATTTGACAATGGTTTAACTGCTATGGCTCAATGCTATGAAACAATGGGAGTCGTAGTTTGGTGAGGCAGTAGCACTCTTTGGCAGAGAAGGCTAAAAAATGTGTAAAGCTACAAATCCCATGAATCCATAGCTCTGAGATGTGGCAGAGATGTCAAACCTCATTAATTCTACGCTATAGATCAGGGGTCCTCAAACTTTTTAAACAGAGGGCCAGGTCACAGTCCCTCAAACTGTTGGAGGGCCGGATTATAATTTGAATAAAACATGAATGAATTCCTATGCACACTGCACATATCTTATTTGTAGTGCAAAAACCATTTAAAAACAATACAATAATTAAAATGAAGAACAATTTTTTAAAATATAAAAATTTATTGGTATTTCAATGGGAAGTGTGGGCCTGCTTTTGGCTGATGAGATAGGATTGTTGTTGTTGTGGCCTTTCAAGTCATTTCAGACTTAGGTTGACCCTGAGCGAGGGCCGGGTAAATGACCTTGGAGGGCCGCATTCGGCCCCCGGGCCTTAGTTTGAGGACCCCTGCTATAGATGTACCCTTGAACTTCAAAATATTTTTGGCTCTATTTTAACAATTTGAGACAAAAAGTTAAGTTCCCCACTTCTCTATTTATTTATTTATTTATTTATTTATTTATTTACTTCATTTGTTGACCGCCGCTCTCAGCCCTGGGGCGACTCGCGGCGGTGCACAACATATAAAAACAGTCTACAAAAGCATACAATAAATCGACAACCAAATTACACATTAATCTAAATTACAATAATAAATCCGCGCCATCATAACATATCGACATAGCCAATCTCATAATCCAAGGTCCGTTCCAGATGTCATTACCATATTCGTGTAGGTCTCAATTAAATGCCTTCCCGAATAGCCACGTCTTTAGGCTCCTACGGAAAGCCATAAGGGAGGGCGCCTGTCTGATGTCAGACAGTTGAAAACTTCCTCCTCTCCCTCTCCAGAGATCTCCTTTTATTTTTTGCCCTTTTCCTGCTCTCCTGGGTATGCAGGAAAGTGCTTCCAAAATGGATAGGTTGGTTGCATCCTAGTTTCTGAAACAGTTAGGGCCTTATCAGACATTTTTCGGGCTCTCTTTCCATGCACTTAGGAAACAGATTCCCACAGAGGACATCACAAGACATGAGGGCACTTCTGGTGGAAATTCATGCTTCCTAAGCACATTTTTAACAAATATAAACTTATTAGTATTTCAGTGGGAAGTGTGGGCCTGCTTTTGGCTGATGAGATTGTTGTTGTTATGTGCTTTCAAGTCGTTTCAGACTTAGGTTGACCTTGAGCGAGGGCCGGGTAAATGACCTTGGAGGGCCGCATCCGGCCCCCGGGCCTTAGTTTGAGGACCCCTGGTCTAGAGGCATTCTCTCCTGACGTTTTGCCTGCATCTATGGCAAGCATCCTCAGAGGTAGTGAGGTCTGTAGTGCCTCTAGACCATGGCCATATAGCCCAAAAAACCCTACAACAACCCAGTGATTCCGGCCATGAAAGCCTTCGACAATACAAAGACCCCCTAATCCAGTACTTGGCTTCACAGTGGCCTTCTTTTTGGATGAATGGTAGCCAGTTGTTTGCTAAGAGCCCAACCACAGGATATAGAGCCAAACCCTTTCCCCGATTCTCCCATGGCCACAAGTATTCAGTGGCTGACTTTGAACCTAAAAAGTTCAAAATCGCTCATAGCCATGTGTATACCTTTTCTCCTCTTCCATTCTGTATGGATTTCTGTAGTACTTTTTTACAGCCATGTAAGCTGGTGTGCAGCTCCACATCCTGTGGCTGCAGGTTCCATGCATTACTCCTTCATCTGAAGAAGGACTGTACAAGCAGTCCCCAAGATGCGAACAAAATATGTCCTGCAGGTTTGTTCTTAAGTTGAAACTAGCACATTTTTAGGTATACCTCCATATAGATAGATAGATAGATAGATAGATAGATAGATAGATAGATAGATAGGTAGGTAGGTAGGTAGGTAGGTAGGGATGCCATAGGGAAGAGTTAACACCCCTGTGTGTTTTGCTGTTTGTGCCTGTTCAGAAGATTTCACCTCACTTTCTGTCCCTGTGATCATTGGATTTTTTTGGGGGGAAAGGCTTTTTGTGGAAACAAGTATTGGTGATAAAGCTTCAGTTGAGATGCCTTTCCCCAATGATAACTCTTTCAGGAGTGAATGTCCCTTCTGAGGGGTAGATTTCTTTCACTTCCTATTGTCTCACCCCAGTTTTTAACTATGAATCATATGTAAGGGACTGCCTGCCTTTTGTTTGTCCTCAATGTACTGGAAGTCAATTTTGTTGTGTAACCTAGAGCTCTAGGGCTAGAGAGATTAAATACTGTAACCCTCACTGTACTTGCTTGACTTCTTCCGCAGAGCACATAAGGTCATCCCTCCAGATTTGCAGTTTTGGTTTGTGTAGATTGGATTATTCGTGGATTTGATTTAAAATGTTCTCTCTGGAATCTCTAGGTCCCTAATGTGAGTCCATGGCCTGCTTCCAGCGATAGCAAAATAGCAATTTCTTTAGCCACGCTTTTCACTTTCACGGAAGTCCTTGTGTCCCTAACTCTATCATGCCTTTTACTGGAGGTATTTTACCAGAGGGCAGGTGACAAACTTTCAGCAGGATGTAATAGTTGCATCCCACTTTGAAAATTGAAAGGCTTTTTAAAATCTGAATTAGGGTGCTTCCAGATAAGACTAAAATCTGCAACAAAGCGAGTTTTAAAAACCCGTTTGGCACAGATTTCAGTCGCCATGCCACCCAAAAAACCTGGGCTTTCCCGGGGAGTGGTGGCTCCATGCCATCTTGATTAAAATCGGAATGGCATGCAGCCACCACGAAACTTTCCAATTTACCCCTAAAAGTAAAGTAAAAAGTACCTGGCCACCATAAATTGCCTCCTTGCACCCTCTTGGCACAAGGAAATGGCATGCCAGGTGACAGGACAGGATGGGACGGGGCGAGGAGGAAAATCGTTTTGATGCCTTCAGTAAAAACCGAGACAGGTCCTGGGATATAGGCCTATCTGGATGGGCTCTTAACCATTGCCCCCTTAAACACCGATGAATAGAACCACCATTTCCAACTTAAAGGAAGTGCCTTGAAGTTGTTTCTGACTTATAGTGACTCTGAAGTAAACTTATCAAGTTTTTTTTTTTGCACCAGAAAATTTGTGACCTTCCTCAGGTCACCCAGTGGGTTTCTGTTGTCAAGTAGGGATTTGAAACCTGTTCTCCAGAATTATAATCCAATGCTCAAACTGCTACACCACATTGGTTTACAAGAAAAGTAATAGTCCTATTATATTCTGTGCTCGTCAGGACCTACCCAGATATCTGTGTTCAGCTGTGTGTGCATTTTAAGAAGGATATAGACAAATTGGAGCAGGATTAGAAAAGGGCAATAGGTATGATAAGAGGACTGGAGAATAAAACGTAAGAGGAAGAATTGTAGGATCTGTTAAACCTAGTGAAGGGGATAGTGTGTAATGATGTGATTGCACACTTTAAATATCTGAGGGGCCATCAAGGAGAAGAGGACAGGTTTACAGGGTCAGTTCTAATGATTTTAAGTTAAAAGAGTGTAGATTTTGATTGAACATTAAAAGGAACTTTTTGACAGTAAGAGCATTTCAGCAATGGAACCAATTGCCATGAGAGATTATAGGGTCTCTTTCCCTTATTGTCTCCAAGATGAGACTCGACAGCTACCTGTTGGGATATTCTAACTGAAGACCCTGCATTGGGTTGGACTCAATAGCCCATAGAATCCTGTTCTAGGATTCTTTGACCCCCAGGTTTTGTTGTTTGGCCCTTATTTATAGGAAACTCTTAACTTTTCTTCACAGAGAAGGAATCTAGTCCCCACCTTCTATTGTGTTGATTGTCCTTTCTTCTGCCTTGCTCAAACATGTTAACACCCATTTTGAAATGCAGATAGCAGAGTACTGTGGAATATCCCAAATGCAGTCATGTATTAGCTCAATCTTCAATGATCTAGTCCCCTAAATGACAGTTCCCAGCCTCCCAGGCAACCATAGCTGAGGATGATGGGGACTGTATCCAGGTTGGGGGAAGGCTGGCATAGAATTATATCAAGACATTTCTCTGTTTCTATTTTCATGTTCTTCCCTTCTCATCCATATCATGGAATGATTTGTTGTTACGTTTATCACTGCTGTTCTTCTTTTGGTTGATGATTTTAGTGGAATATATACAACAAAAGCTATCATTCCTAGGTAGTTTCCCTGTTCAGACCCTGACTTAGTGTCTTTATTTTTGTCTCCTCTCCCCCATTTCCACAGATGTCCATCATCCTTTCGGGTCTTATTCACATCTTCCGACCACTCCTATCCTCCCTTTCTGGTGCACTCGACTGCGAGGGCTTAGGACCATGGTACTTCCTGCTGGGTCTTCGCATTGTGGCCATTTTCTTCTCAAATGGGCCATGGGACTCTGTGAAGGAGGATGTGGCCTGCAATTGGGTGGCCCCCATCGAAGACAAGTCACGGGACTTCTGCACAACTTTATGTCACAACCTCCACTTCCCATTCTCTATTGCCGCGATGTGGGGACTGGTGTTCATTGCCCTGCTGCTCCTGGTGGGACTCATGAGACTGAGCAGCCCCAAGAAAAAGAAAGAAGATGGGGAGAATGGAAATGGGAACGGGAACGGGAACGGGAAAGAGGATAAAGAAAAAGGCTTAGCTATTGTGGAGAAGGCACCTCATGGGAGCAATGCTGACATGTCTACCATCTACTGGGTTGGGCGTCGTGGTCTCCCTAGACGCTACGGGGCCTACCGTTCTCACCCCCACCATCCCCACTATCTTCATCACTACTACGGCCACCATGATAATTGGCATGATTGGCCCGATTGGCACGGGGCACCTGGGGCACCCATGGTTGGTGAACATTATCCAGATACGGGCTTTGTTCCACCGGACGTTGGAGGATATGGCATGCCTATCCACCAGGAGCACATTAGCCAGACCAAAATGCCCGAGCACTACCATGACATGGCTCAAACCAAAATGGGTGCCTACCCAAAGGACATGAGGCAAAGCAACAAGCCCACACATGGCCCTGGAACAGAACAATATGCAATGTCTAGCTCTCCAGGTCAGGTGAGACAAACCCGTAGTGCACCCTATTATGGAGAAAAGGGACAGTATAGTGCACCCACCAAGAGTATCCCTATCCCCATTCATGGCTCACCCCATAAAGGCAAGATCACCCCCCGTGGTTCTCCTGGCAATGAACATGATGAGACCTTCCAACAGAGGTATACAAGCCCCAATGATGGTACAAAATACAGTGGCCAAAGTAAGATGGTGCCTAGATACTGTGAAGATGGCCAATATGGCATGGCATCCAAATGCAGGCCGGACATTGAAGGGAGCATGGGCCATATTGCTGTAGCAGATGACAGTCCAAACATGGCTATCAAGCGTCGGCCAGTCCAGGGGACTAAAATACACACAAAACACCATGCGAATTTTGATGCTGCTGGCAGAAGTGACATGGGTTTTGTTGGCAACACGTATGCCCAACCTTGGATGACCAAGAATCCTAGCGGCAAGCCCGCTGGTGGGAAGAAAACCATGGCTGGACCAAGCGTTGGGGCAAGCCATGGTGATGCAGCCTGCATCTGCAATGACACAGATCCATGTCACATGGGCCACAAATGGGAAGTCCATTGGGAACCCCCTTGTGGGCCCTGCTGCAGGGCTGAGCCCACCCACCACGAGGGACATGGATGTCGAGGAAGTCCTCCTGGACCACAGGAGGGAGCCAAGATGTCTATCAAGAAAATCTGTGGTGTGCCACTCTTTGACGTGTGGGTGGCTCTTCTTCTTGCGATGGAGATCGGCTTCCTCTGTATTGTGCTTCTTTTTCAGGTGCCCACTCTTTTGGGGAGGTCATGGATCTGTACCCCAGGAGCTTCTGGGTGTCCCCAAAGTGTTGAATGCACTATCAAAGGGAGGGCCGAAAAGCGAGTGGCTCTCTGGGGGCTAGTGTTCACCTCCATTCTTTTTATAATTGCTTGTAGTGGCTACTTTAACCTACGCTTCTGTTGGAACCAGCGGTGCCAACAAATGTGCAGCGGGGAGGAAAGTGGGGATGAAGCAATCACTGAGGCAGGAAAGCGGGATGAGGAGGAAGGTGGCAATGAGAACAAGGAAGGTGACTGAAGAAGGAGAAGAGATGGTGAGACATACTCAGCTTGTCTTTGCTGTACACTTCAGGTTGCAAGTCAGGCTAGCAACATGGCAACCTTTCCCAAACTCAGCCCCCTAAACCGTTGCTGAATTTCAAACCCCATCATCCCAAACCAGCACAACCAGCATTTGAGATGGTGGGGTTTGTAGTCCAATAATATCTGGGGATATTGGGAAAGGCTGCAAAACTTCTCTTAGTTGAAACCCAGATGTCACAATTCTGGCTTCTGTTCCCCAATAGCTTCATTCTCTGTCTTCTAGGATTTTTCTCCCTTTTATTTCTTGGTATAGAAAGAAACCCATCATGGGAATTTCCTTCTTCTTGTCATCTTAGGGAGCTTCCAGACAGCACTCAATCACGGGTTTTAAACAGGGGCAAAGCATCCCGGGACTTCAGAAAAGGTCCACATACAGACCTGTTGGTCCCGGGATTTCTGCCTCCATTGTCCAGCCTTGATGCTTTGTTGTGAGATTTTGGGGCTCCCAAGATGGTCAATGTGGGACTTCTGCTGGAAACTTTGGCATTTTTTAAATAAAACCTCAAGATGTGGATATGCGGAGAATTATTACAGTGAATCACTGCAAAAGTTCAGTTTGTTCTGGCCAGGGAAACTGTGGCCTCCATGTGTTTCATGAAGTTTCTGGCACACAAACGAAGTTTTTGCCTTCTACTCAAGTGTCACCTTCTTTTTAGGAACCGACCAATCAGGAACAAACATCTAAAACCTGGGAACAAGCCCAGATTAAAAAATCCCACGATTTCCCATTGCAGGGACATAGAGACATGTGAAGATATTTGGCTCAAAACTGCAATATTCCCACAATTGGAAATCTTGTGTTTTTTGCATTTTGTAGTGATTGTTTCTGCATTTACAGGGAATGGTGTCTGGCCATCCACCTGTTTGCTGCGGAAGCTCCTGGGATATATTTAGTGTCTGGGCAGGCCCTTAGTGGCGAAGTCTTCTGTTTCCTTCCTCAACATTATGCGCAGAGTCTCTCTTATCCAAAAATGCTTAGGATCAGAAGTGTTCCACATTTCAGATTTTTGAATACTTTCACAATGAGATATCTGGGAGATTGGGACATGAGTCTAAACATGAAATTCATCTATGTTTCATGCATATCCATAACCTGATGGCATTTTTATGAACAACATTTTAAATAATTTTGCACATGAAACAAAGCTTGTGTACATTGTATCATTGGAATGCAAAGGTATCTCCATCTCAGTCCCCCATGTGGACAATTGGATTTTGAAGTATTTTGGAGTTTAGAATTCTGGATAAGCGATACTCAGCTGTATAATTAATAGAACAGCTCCTAGATTTCCAGTTCTGGGCTTTGTCTTCTATGTCACTTGTTCCCAAACTTTGGTTTTCCAGATGTTTTGGACTTCAACTCTCATGATTCTTGACAGTTGGCCAAGTTGGATGTGGCTCCTAGGAGTTGAAAGCCCAAATATCTGAAGGACCAAACTTTGAGAACCACTGCTCTATGAGTTAGTTTAGGCATGGGCAAACTTTGACCCTCCAGATGTTTTGGACTTCAACTCCCACAATTCCTGACCTCAGGCTCCTTCCTTTCCCCCCTCAGCCGCTTAAAGGAAGGGGCCTGAGGCCAGGAATTGTGGGAGTTGAAGTCCAAAACATCTGGAGGGTCAAAGTTTGCCCATGACTGAGTTAGTTAATCAATTTTATGGCAATACCATTTGAAATGATGGATCGATCTAAATACTCACGCTAACAGACTATCCAGTCTGATCTTGGATGCTAAGAAGAATCACTCCTGGTTAATATTTGGATGGAAGACTGCCAAGGTGCTGTAGGCAAAATTTCAGAGGAAGGAACTGGCAAAACCACTTCTTGATTTATCCCTTGCCTAAGAAAATCCTAAATTTATGGGGTTACCTTAAGTCAATAGACAACATAAAGGCACTGAAAATAACATTCCTCCTGCCTTGGTATATTAGAAAACTAGGTACCAAGAAGAAGGGCTTTAATTTTCTCCTTGACATCTCAATATTTTATTTGCAAGGGCATTTTATTGTATGAAGAAGCATTAACTGCTCTGAGTCACCACTTGACCTGCGAAGAGGTACAGCCAGAACCTCTTTGTATCTGGCGTTGCTGAGTCTGCAGCAGATATTTAGACTACCTCTTCAGTTTTGTTTTTCTGGCCCATAAAACCTGCCACCTGCTATCTCTGTGGCATTGTGAGAAATGCCAACTGTGGATTGCGAGTGGGAGGAAGTGGGAGAAACTGGAACATTTTAGAAGCAGTGGGAGGGCAGAGAGTTAATTGGGACTCTCAGCCAAATGGACACAGTTGGAGGTTATACCACAGAGCAAACTGGGCAAATACGGACGTGTCTTCACACTATACAATCTGCACCATCCATTGTTATGGTTTTCTGTCTTGGTTCTCCAAGGAACTGGCACGAATTGACCTGGCAAGAACAAGTGAGGGGGGAAGAAAACAAATGAAAAGAGGAAGAGATTGGGATATTGAGCTCCTGCTTCAGGTGGCAGATATGGGATTCAAGGAGGAACTGCACATTACTTGATGCTTAGTTGTACTCTTTCTGTCAGGAACTAAGTGTGCTGCTCCTGAGATTCTCTGCCTCAGGGTCCAAACTAACTTGCCTCACCTAAGGTGTTAGGCCTTGACTTTGTGTGTATGGTAGAATGGTCTGTATCCTCAGGCTACCTGTATATACTCAGGTAAAGGTAAAGGTTTCCCCTTGACATTAAGTCTAGTCAAGTTTGACTCTGAGGGGTGGTGCACATTTCCATTTCTAAGCCAAAGAGCAGGCGTTGTCTGTAGACACCTCCAAGGTCATGTGGCCAGCATGACTGCATGGAGCGTCATTACCTGCCCACAGAAATAGTACATATTTGCATGTTTTCGAACTGCTAGGTTGGCAGAAACTTGGCCTAACAGTGGGAGCTCCCTCTGCTCCCTGGATTTGAACCACCGACCTTTCGGTCAGCAATTTCAGCAGCTCAGCAGTTTAACCCACTGCACCACCAGGGGACAAATTCTATAGAGCTGGAATAATCCTGTTCTCACGTCACAAGGTAATACAGCCTCCTTCAGATAGTGCCATGAGAGAATGGATGAAAAAAACATATGGCTAGTGCAACAAGCAAGACATTTTAAAATGTTGACCCTTGCCAAGTGAAGTAGACACCTCCAAGGTCATGTGGCCAGCATGACTGCATGGAGCAGTCATGCTCCATGCAGTCATTTACTGTATATACTCAGATATATATTTACTGTATATACTTAGGTATATACTTACTGTATATACCTAAATATATCCAGTAAGTATATATACTTACTGTAGTCGCCCCTGGTGGTGCCGCAGATTAAACCGCTGAGCTGCTAAACTTGCTGACTGAGGTTGGTGGTTCGAATCCAGGGTGTGGAGTGAGCTCCCGCTGTTAGCCCAGCTCCTGCCAACCTAGCAGTTTGAAAACATGCAAATGTGAGTACCGCTTGAGCAGGTACCGCTTGAGCAGGAAGGTAATAGGTACCGCTTGAGCAGGAAGGTAATAGCACACCATGCAGTCATGCTGGCCACATGAACTTAGAGGTGTCTACAGACAATGCCAGCTCTAGAAATGGAGATGAGCACCACCTCCCAGAGTCGGACACGACTAGAGTTAATGTAAAGGGGAAACCTTTAGCTTTTATACTTACCAAATACACTCAGATGTCTTGAATTTTTTATGAAAAAAATCAACCCAAAAAACTTGGGTTGATTTTCCCACACATCAGTGTACCTAGTGTTAACTCTAAAAAAAGGAAGGAAGGAAGGAAGGAGAAAGGAGGAAGGAAGGAAGGAAGGAAGGAAGGAAGGAAGGAAGGAAGGAAGGAAGGAAGGAAGGAAGGAAGGAAGGAAGGAAGGAAGGAATCATTCCCCTAACTAAGGAGAGTTCTGAAAGGCAAAAGCCCAGGAGAACTTCAATGAAGTACTTCTATCTTCTACTTTCTAATATTGGGGCTTTCTCTTTTCTGAAGAATTATTCTCTATCCATAAAATGATGAAGAGTAGAGTCCGCATAGCAATAAAGGTCCGCATAGTTAAAGCAATGTTGTTCCCTGTAGCAACCTATGGATACCAGAGCTGGACCATAAGAAAGACTGAGCGAAGGAAGATAGATGCTTTTGAACTGTGGTGTTGGAGGAAAATTCTGAGAGTGCCTTGGACCACGAGAAGATCCAACCAGTCCATACTTCAGGAAATAAAGCCCGACTGCTCATTGGAGGGAAGGATATGAGAGGCAAAGATAAGTACTTTAGCCACATAATGAGAAGACAAGAAAGCTTAGAGAAGAGAATGATGCTGGGGAAAATGGAAGGAAAAAGGAAGAGGGGCTGACCAAGGGCAAGATGGATGGATGGTATCCTTGAAGTGACTGGCTTGACTCTGAAGGAGCTGGGGGAGGTGACAGCCGACAGGGAGCTCTGGCGTGGGCTGGTTCATGAGGTCACAAAGAGTCGGAAGCGACTGAACAAATAAACAACAACAATCCATATATTATATCAAAATCCATAATTTTGATCCTGAAACTTGCCCTCGACTTATAACTGAGTATGTTTGGTATTCACTGCCGGTTGCATGTCCTGCTCAATTCACCTGTTTTTTCCCTGAACCTTCACCAAAATGTCTTACGTGCTTCAAGCCATAGTCATAAAGAGTATATATTATATTATTATATATGAACTTAAATTCAACAGCTGCTACACAAGATTTCATACAACTCTTGGATTGTCTGTTTTAGGGCACATCTACATGGTAGAATCAATTCAGCTTAACACCACTTTAACTGCCACGGCTCAATGCTATGGGATCTTGGGAGTCAAACTTTGGTGAGGCACTGTTTGGCAGAGAAATCTAAAGACCTTGCAAAACTACAACTCCTATGATTCCATAGTACTAAACCATGGCAGTTAGAATGATGCCAGGTTGCTCCTGCATGCCTTCAAGTTGTTTCTATCTTATGGCAATCTTAAAGCAATCCTCTCATGGGTTTTCTAAGCAAGATCTATTCAGAAGTTTGCCATTGCCTTCCTCTGAGGCCGGGAGTGTGTGACTTGCCCAAGGTCACCCAGTAGATTACGAGAAATTTGAACCTTGTTCAATTTGAACCTTGTTCAATGTATTGTCGAAGGCTTTCATGGCCTGGGTTGTTGTGAGTTTTCTGGACTGTATGGCCATGTTCCAGAAGCATTCTCTCCTGACGTTTTGCCCACATCTATGACAGGTATCCTCAGAGGTTATGAGGTCTGTTGGAAAGTTTGAAAACAAGGAATGTCCAGGGTGGGAGAAAGAACTATTCGAGGTAGATGTGAATGTTTCAATTGGCCATCTTGATTAGCATTAAAAGGCCCAGCAGTTTCATAGTCTGGCTTCTTACTGCCTGGGGAATCCTTTGTTGGGAGGTGATTAGCTGACCCTAATTGTTCCCCAACACAATCTTCAAACCTCACAACCTCTGAGGATGCTTGCCATTGATGCAGGCAAAACGTCAGGAGAGAATGCTTCTGGAACATAGCCATACAGCCCAGAAAACTCACAACAACCCAATCTTCAAACCACTATCCCATGTTGGTGACTAAGCTCTTTATAAACTTTGGAGGTAGAAGTTCTGCTTGTTGTCATGCCTATTGTTTGAACCTGTGTGATGCTCAGATACTATAACTTAATTGTGTTTCTTTTGCCGCTCTTGGTAATAAACAGTGCTGGGAATGTATTTTATTTTATTTTCAAAATAAAATTTAAAAACCTGTCATTTTGTTGCACTCCTTTTAAGCAGCTCTTGTTGGTATGTCACCGCAAAACTCAAATTAACTGAGAGAAACCCTTGCGGTCGATGAAAATCATCCCCATCAAGAATTTATATATCAAAGAGAGTTATACGACTCCCATAAATGTTGGCTCAGATTGCAAGATTGCTGCTTATTATTTCCACCCATTATTTCTGCAATAATGTATGATGGCCCCATGATGTCTGGTATTAAGTAATAATAAAAATGTATTGTCGAAGGCTTTAATGGCTGGAATTATTGGGTTGTTGTGAGTTTTCCAGGCTGTATGGCCATGTTCCCGAAGCATTCTGTCCTGATGTTTCGCCTGCATTTATAGCAGGTATCCTCAGAGGTTGTGAGGTCTGTTGGAAACTAGGAAAATCGGGGTTATATATCTGTGGAATGTCCAGATGGGAGCACCTATCGGGAGCGGCTCAGGACTTCATGTCTACCATGGCAACCATGGGGCTGTCCCAACAGGTATCTGGCCCCACCCACAGTGCTGGACATACATTGGACTTGGTTTTCTGCCAGGGATGGGAGGAAGGTGGCGGTGTTGAGGAGTTATCCATCTCTCCGTTGCCATGGACCGACCACCACCTGGTCAGCTTTAGACTCACTGCACCCCCTAACCTCCGCAGAGGTGG